ACCGTTATTCTGAGGCCAGGAAGATCTCACTTGCAGTGGCTCAGTTGACGGAAACGCCCTTGCTTGGTGGGATAAATATATATCCGATAGAAGGAGGCACAATCATGGCGAGATCACTACATGGACAGACATGCGGTTCAGCCTGAGGAAGAGGTACGTTCCTGCTCATTACCACCGAGAGGTCCAAAGGACATTCCGCATGCTTTCTCAAGGAAGTAAGTCATTGGAAGAGTACTTTGAAGAGTTTGAAACTCTTAAGAACCAGTTGGAAGTAGCAAGCACACCAGAAGCTTTAATGGCTCAATTCCTTGATGGTCTCCAGGACCGCATTGCAAGAATGGTGGAGTGCCAAACGTACCATGATCTAGAAGAGCTCTTGCACTTACCCATACAAGCTGAGAACCATATTAAGAAGAAGAATGCAGCCACCAGCCGCAACAACATCGTGGACTCCTCAACCTGCACGCAACATGGATCGGGGTAAATCTATTGAACCAGACCCCATGCTCAAGAAGCCAATGACCGAGGCTTCCAAGTACAACAGGCCGGAGACTAGTAAGTTTTCTAATTAAAGAGCTTGTGACATTACATGCTTTAAATGTCAGGGTAAAGGGAATTATGCAAAGGAATGTCCAAACCAAAGGGTGATGATCCTCAAGGTCAATGGCGAGTATGAGCCACAGGATTAAGGAGGAGAAAACAAAGAGTCCAAAGATGATATCATTGACTACCCGGACCGAGGAGAATTTTTTGTGGTGAGAAGAGCCCTTAGTACTCTCTTTGAGCCTGAGATCATTCAGCGAGAGAACATCTTCCATTCACGATGCACTATCAACTCTAAGGTATGTAGCTTTATTATAGATGGAGGCTCTTGTACTAATGTTTCTAGCAAGTACTTAGTCGATAAGCATGGTTCACCGAAGACCAAGCATCTGAGGCCTTACTAACTCAAATGGCTGAAGGTTGACACAGAACTGAAGATTGTGGAGAAAATCACAGTCCCTTTCAGCATTGGCCGATACTCGGATCAAGTGGTGTGTGATGTGGTGCCTATGCAAGCTGGGCATTTTGCTGTTAAGCCGACCATGGCAATTCGATAAGGAAACTCTACACCATGGCCGCACCAACTTCTACACCTTCACATATAACAACAGGAAGCATAGCTTAGCACCTTTAACGCCTCATAAGGTGAATGACATGCACAGGGCTATGGCTAAGGGAATCGAGGTAAGTAAGACTAACCTATACGTTACCTCTACTTCTGTCTTGAGATCACTTGAATCACAACAACCCGTGCTACTCATGATCTTCAAAGAAGTGTTGTTTTCAGGACAAGAACCACCAGCCTTACCAACTGCTGTAACCGAGCTACTTGACCATTTTTCCGAAGTGTTTCCAGATGAAATACCACCAGGACTACCATCCATTCGAGGAATAGAGCATCAAATCGACTTGGTCCCTGGTGCTCCTTTACCAAGCCGAGCTGCATATCCAGTGAACCCTGAGGAAGCGTAAGAGCTGAAGAGACAAGTCCAAGACTTAATTTCTAAAGACTACATCCGGGAGAGCTTGAGCCCATGCGCAGTTCCAGTGCTCCTTGTTCTAAAAAAGGATGGTTCGTGGAGGATGTGTGTGGACTGCCGGGCAATCAACATCATCACCATCCAATACAGACATCCTATTCTGAGGCTTGACGACATGTTGGACGAACTGAGTGGTGCTACCATCTTCTCCAAAATTGATCAGAGGAGTGGCTATCACCAAGTCCGGATGAAGGAAGGAGACGAGTGGAAAACAGCCTTTAAGACCAAGAGAGGACTGTATGAGTGGCTTGAGATGCCTTTCGGCTTGACCAACGCCCCTAGTACATTCATGAGACTCATGAACCATGTACTCTGCGCCTACATCTGTAAGTTTGTCATGGTATACTTTGATGACATCCTTATCTGTTGTACTTGCCTTGCGGATCACCTAGGACATTTGGAACAAGTACTTGAGACCTTACGACTTGAAAAACTATATGCAAACCTAAAGAAATGCACATTTTGCACTAATGAAGTTGGGTTTCTAGGCTTTTTTGTAAGTTCTCAAGGATTGAAGATAGAAGAAGAAAAGATAAAGGCAATTCAAGAATGGCCTACTCCCACAACCATTGGCCATGTTAGAAGCTTTCACAGCTTGTCTAGCTTTTATAGGAGATTTGTGAAGGACTTTAGCTCCATTGTCGTGCCTCTTACCTCAGTCATCAAGAAGGACGTAGCCTTCCATTGGGGAACCGCATAAGAGGAGGCATTTTCCAAGCTCAAGGCCAGCCTAACCAACGCCCTCATCCTGGTACTACCGAAATTTGACAACACCTTTGAAGTAGAATATAATGCTTCAGGTACAAAGATTGGAGTCGTGCTAACACAAGGAGGCAAGCCAGTAGCATACTTTAGTAAAAAATTCAATGGAGTTGCCCTCAACTACCCCACCTATGACAAGGAGCTATATGCATTAGTAAGATCCCTTGAAATTTGGCAACATTATTTGTTATCTAAGGAGTTTGTGATTCATATAGATCATGAAACCCTTAAACACTTGAGAGGCCAAAGTACACTCAAAAAGAGACATGCTAAGTGGCTAGAATTCGTGGAGACATTTCCATACATCATCAAATACAAAAAGGGCAAGGAGAACATTGTGGCTGACGCCCTATCAAGAAGACACGCCTTAATATCCACCATGGAGGCTAAGGTAATGGGATTTGAGTACATTAAACCTTTATATGAGTTTGACCCTGATTTTTCAGAAATCTACAAAGAAATTAGTAAGGCTGCCTTTGGAGTTTTCTATCCATGAAAATTTAACCATCTTTGTAGTTGTGGACAGGTTTTCCAAGATGGCCCATTTCATACCATGCAACAAAACCATTGATGCTATTCAGATTTCTTATCTCTTCTTTAAGGAAGTTGTGAGGCTACATAGAATACCAAGGACCATTGTATTCGACCGTGAAACCAAGTTCTTGAGCCATTTCTGGAAGACACTATGAAAGAAACTGCGGACAAAGCTACTATTTCCACCACTTGCCATCCCCAAACGGACGGACAGACTAAGGTAGTCAACCGCACACTCTCTACCTTGTTGAGAGCCACGGTTGGTAAAAATCTCAAAAACTGGTTAGCATGTATCCCTTACATTGAATTTGCTTATAACCATGCTAAGCATTTAGCTACGAAGTATTCACCGTTTGAAATTGTCTATGGGTTTAATCCTGAGACACCTTTAGATCTCTCACCCCTTCCCCAAGCTAGTTATTCTAGTACAGATGGAGAAGCCAAGGCTGAGTTTGTGAAGAAACTCCATCAAAAGGTTAAGGACAACTTGGAGGAACGGTACAACAAGAACCAACAGCAAGGTAACAAGGGACGCAAGGAGATCATCTTTGAACCCGGGGATTGGGTTTGGCTACACATGAGACCGGAGAGATTTCCAAACCAGCGGAAGTCCAAACTTGCACCTCGCTGATATGGCCCTTTCCGAGTACTTGATAACATCAACAACAACGCCTACAAGCTCGAATTAACAGGTGAGTTGACAATTTCTCGTACTTTCAATATTGATGATCTAGCTCCGTATAATGCAGATGAACCAGTTTTGCCATCACCCCTAGCTTGCTCGGACCAGACTTAGAAGAAGGCGGATCAGACCATGAGTTTCCATACCGGTGCTAGATCAGAGGATATATGGATAGAGAATCTGTAATCGATAAAAACCTCCGACATGTTTTTGTTTAAATAACTACATATTTCTATAAATCTATGAAGTTATGATAAAAAATTGACAAAAATCGAAAGGATATAATGAGTTGAGTGACGGCTGATAAGGTTTCAGGTCAATGTATTCCTAGGTTGAAGATGAATGATTCTTTATTAAAGCCAAAATAACAAAAAAAAAAAATCAATAATGCCCAAATCAAAATTTTGATATATATATATAATAAAAATATATCAACATATTTCTAGTAATTTTAATATGTTTATATTCTTTCTTGTTACAAAATTTTTGAATAGTGTTCAAAATTATATCAATTATTTTGAATAATTCTCATATATTTATATTATGGCTTGTCACCAAATTTCTGAATAGTATTTAATCTTATATTTTAGTTTGAGTTCACCTAATATTAGTTAGGGTTTAGGGTTTACAATTATATTACAATTTGGATTCACTTTAGAAAAAGGATTTAGGGTTTAGATTTTTGTGTTTAGAATTGCAGTCTTATCATAAATAGTGCTATTTGCATCTTTGTAGAATTTGTTTCTTATCTCCTTTAACTCCAATATAACATGCAGAAATCATATCTCTTCGAAATCGAAACTCAGAACTACTGATATAAAAATATTAATGAATTGTTTAGTTAACCATTGGACTATAAGGTTTTCATTTTTTGGATTTAAAAATTATTTTATTAATAATGTTTCTGATAACTGTTTATATAGACAAATATCTGAGAAATATTGAACATATGTATTATTATTTTCAAAATAATAACATTTTCGTTAACGTTCCGAAAAACTAATAATTTTGTAAAAAAATAAAATAATCACAAAAAAACTATTTACTTTTTAAAAAACACAAAATTCATATATTTTGACGGTCAAACCGATTAGTTCTACAAATAACCCATATTTTATCATTCTACACGTACAATGAAATGATAATAAACCAAGTTTGTGCTCGCTTAATTATTATTTTGTAAAGTTATTCATTATAATTTGACCATCTTCGGAATTTCGGAATATTTTAATGCCTAATGGTTAAAGCTGGCATAGGATTTCATTGTTCACACATTTAACTTTAAAGATAACAAAGGGTAGTGGTGGTGTCAGCTTGGCGGAGCATGCCTGACATGTGCATCTCATCAATACTCCTTTTCCCTTTATCTTTGTATCAGCACTTGGATCTATATTGTTTATCCTTGCGCATGGTTTTATCATTACTACTATATATTTAAACTGAATAAATGTAAATAAATAAACAAAGAGAAAAAAAAAAATTGTTTAGGCGGAGAATATGGATAAATAGTGAAGACAAGACAGTTTTCTTACCCATGAAACGTCTTTAATGGCAAACTCAACTAGTTTTTACAAAGACAATGTTTCCGATTATGAAATCTCCACAGCCGGACCAAACTCGAGCCGCCGTACAAGCTGGCTAAGCAGCTCTTTCACGGCCAGTCCTAGCTGTGGTAGCTCCATATCCCATCTAACTAACCATGGCCTAATCAGCTACAACCAATCCAAGCCTCACAAAGCCAACCAAGTTGCATGGGAAGCTATGGCCAGGCTCCGCCGGTGCTGTGGGCATGCGGTAGGATTAGAACATTTCCGACTCTTAGAGAGGATAGGCAGTGGCGACATCGGAAGTGTGTACCTCTGCCAAATACGTGGAAGCCCGGAGGTTGCGCTTTACGCGATGAAAGTCGTAGATAAGGAGGCTGTGGCTGTGAAGAAAAAGCTAGGAAGAGCGGAGATGGAAAAGAAGATTTTAGGGATGCTTGATCACCCTTTTTGCCCTACCTTGTATGCAGCTTTTGAGGCTTCTCATTACTCTTTTCTTGTCATGGAGTATTGTCCCGGTGGTGATCTCTACGCCGCACGCCTCCGCCAGCCCTCTAAGCGTTTCACTATCTCCTCCACTAGGTCTCCTTCTCTAAACAATAGTTAGTCGTTCAGAAAATTGCTATATTTTAAACTAAAAGTTCAACAAAAAACATTGCTATACGTTTAACAATATTACAGTGAATAAAGGTTTTCCATTAATTTTTCCTTTTGCGTTGAGTGAACCACACTTTCGTTTAGTTATGTTTTAAACTAGACTTATTAATTTATTAAATTTAAATGTTTTAAAATAATGTGAATTGCGGTAGGTACATTTAACAACAATTTTTTTTTTTTTTTTGCACCTATTGTGTTAGTTGAACGATTTACAGTTTTTGCTTCTATCGATTACTTTATTAACTAATCATCAAATACTTAATAACACCAGGTTTTACGCAACAGAAACACTGGTGGCGTTAGAGTATCTCCACATGATGGGAATTGTGTACAGAGACCTGAAGCCAGAGAACGTACTAATCAGAGACGATGGTCATGTAATGCTCTCAGACTTCGACCTCTCCTTCAAATGCGACGTCGTCCCCCAACTCCTCAACCACAACGACCGTGACCAACGAGTCCTTGAGGACGACGAAGACGAAGTCAGCATCTGCCGAAAATGCTCCACACCTTCCTGCACGTCTAGTCCTTTAAACCCCGTAATCTCCTGCTTCTCTCTCAGTTCGAGTAGAAGAAAAAGCAAGAATGTTATTACCACAACAATACATGAGAACGCCGCCGATACTTGCGTTTCCGCTAAAAGCAAGGGTTTTTCTAGAACATTCTCTCGACAACCTTCTTGTTCAACTCGGGTTTCAAGTGGACTTGGGGACGTCTCTGGGGGATGTCTATCAATTTTCGCCGAACCAATCGACGCTCGCTCTAAGTCGTTCGTGGGAACACATGAGTACCTGGCACCGGAGGTAATCTCAGGTATAGCTCGTCTGGCTTTGAGCTGACTTATTACTTATATATTTCTCAATAGGTCCAAGTTCGATTCCACTGTGGGCAAACTCTACGAATTGAGCACTTGGTCTCTTGGACATATATTTGTCAATGTCCTTGCGTTGTATAGTTTTAAGTAGGTACTAGATTTAGGTGATCAATAAAACTGATCTGGAAGGGTGATGGTCCTCCATTACTATTTCACTATGGGTTCACACACATAGCGGCGTATATTGATTTGACCAATTACTTCTGGTGAAAGTAATGTGTTCATGAGTTCGGTTATCGAGAAACATATGTTTACTTTTTTAACTAGTTATCTTTTTTTATTGGTCAGGTCAAGGGCATGGGAGTGCAGTTGATTGGTGGACATTCGGTATACTTCTGTACGAAATGATATTTGGGAAGACACCGTTTAAAGGCGAGAACAACGAGAGAACGCTACTTAACATTCTGAAAAAACCATTGTCATTCCCAAAGGTTATAGTCAATAGCCAGAAAGAGTACAATGACATGGTGAGCGCTCAAGCTCTTATTATTAAATTACTTGTGAAGAATCCTAAGAAGAGGTTAGGAAGTCTCAAAGGCTCCATTGAGATTAAAAGACATGAGTTCTTCGATTGTGTTAATTGGGCACTAATCAGGTCAATAAAGCCACCTTGGGTCCCTAAAGAAGAGAATAATCAGAAGACTAAGAGTGATAATCGCAGCGTTAATTATTATTTGCCACCGAGGTTTATGATGAGTAGAAAGGAAAGGGATGAGCCTTACCATCTCTCTGATCATTTTGATTATTTCTAACCTTAGGATATAATCATTTTTTTTAATGATATGGTATCATTTAGCACGTCGAGGTTTATATTCATATGATTTTGAATCCATGTGGTATTGTGGGATTGAAATTGAAAATGTAAGTATCATTAGGTGAAAACTTTAGCAACTTCACCTATATATATATTGTTGAGATAAGCTTGAAGCACAAGCAAACCTGATTAGAATAAGGAAAATATCCTTTTAGAGAAAAAAGAAAAGTGTTTGAGAGATCTCTATATATTGAGTTGCCGAGATTGTGGCATCTTTAGAGAGAGAGTTTCGTGAGAGAGAACACGAGACATAGAGATCATTGTGTGAGAAAGAGACCTTTAGGTTTTTGAGTTATTTTTCCTAGAGTAATAAGAAGAGTGTCTTATTGAGATTGTGTGAGCAAAAACTTTCTTTCTTTCTGGTTCTAGATTTGGTATCAGAGCGTTACGATATCCTAGGGAGCGATGACTGATCAGAAAGCAGTCGTTCCAGCTAAACCAAAAGAAGGAGGAGGATCTTCGTTCATCCTCTGTCCTATGCTGAACTCTAACAACTATACCGTCTGGACATTGAAGATGAAAGTCGCGTTACAAGTTCATAAGGTTTGGGAAGCAATCGAGCCTGGAAACGCAGTAATAGAAGAAGAAAAGATTATCATGGCCAAGGCCTTACTGTTTCAGTCGATACCAGAGGCGCTTGTTTTGCAGATTGGAGATCTGAATACGGCTAAACAGGTATGGGACACGATCAAAACAAGGCATATGGGGGCAGAACGAGTTAAGGAGGCACGCTTGCAAACTCTTATGGCTGATTTTGAGAGACTTAAGATGAAAGATACAGAAAAAGTAGATGAGTTTTCCGGAAGACTATCAGAGATTACTTCGAAATCAGCTTCTCTTGGAGTAAGTGTTAAGGAATCCAAGCTAGTTAAGAAGTTTCTTAACTGTCTCCCTCCTAAGAAGTTCATCCAAATAGTGGCTTCTTTAGAACAGGTATTAGACCTCAATACCATATCTTTTGAAGACATTATTGGACGAATTAAAGCATACGAAGAGAGAATTATCACTGCAGAAGAAGCACAAGAAGAGCAGTCAAAACTCATGTATGCAAACATGGAGACACAAAACAACCAAGAGTACACAAACAACTATCGAAACAAGGGTCGAGGTGGTCATTTTGGTAGAGTAAGAGGAAGAGGACGAAATGACTGAGCAAGAGATGCTTCTCGGATTACTTGCTTCATATGTGACAAGCTAGGTCACTTTGCCTATGACTGCCCTGATCGTCTACTGAAACTACAAGAAGCTGCAGTATCAGTGACCAATGATACACAAAACGCTGATGAACTTATGATGCATGAAGTTGTTTTTCTCAATGAAAAACGATGCATACCGAGTAAATTTGAAACAAACACAGGGGAGGATAACATATGGTATCTTGATAATGGGGCAAATAATCACATGACAGGAAATAGGAGATACTTTGAGAGAATTGATGAGTCTGTTACTGGGAAAGTAAGATTTGGAAACGACTCTCGTGTTGATATAAAAGGAAAAGGGTCAATCTCACTTATTGACATGAATGGTGAACTGCGAGTTATGACAGATGTGTCCTATATTCCGGATTTGAAGAGCAATATCATTAGCTTGGGACAAGCAACAGAAGCCGGTTGCGACATCAGATTGAGAGGAGGTTATCTCACAATGCATGATTCACAAGGAAAGTTGCTTGCGAAAGCCCCAAGGTCTAAGAATAGATTGTACAAAGTACGCATGGGTTTCCACGACAATGCTCATTTAAACCTTTCTGCCATCAGTGAGTCGAGTCGTTGGCACGCGCGTTTTGGACATATAAATTCAGAAACCATTAAGTCTATGAAACAGAGGGAGCTTGTTCAAGGACTGTTTCACGTTGCTTTTGAAAAGGAGATTTGCAGTTCTTGTCTTTTTGGAAAGCAGACGAGACAGACGTTCCCTCGAGCCATGTCTTATAGAGCATCTGAAATTCTTGAATTAGTACATGGTGACCTCTGCGGCCCGATAACATCGTCTACAGCTGCTGGTAATCGATTCATCTTTGTTCTCATTGATGATCATTCACGGTATTTGTGGATTGTTCTGTTGAAGGAGAAGAGCGCTGCATTTGAGAAATTTAAGTTTTTCAGAAACCGTGTTGAGATGGAATCTGGGGCACGAATCAAGACTTTTAGAACTGATAGAGGAGGGGAGTTTGTCTCACAAGAATTCAATGAGTACTGTGAGAAAGCTGGAATCCAGAGACATCTTACTGCACCATACACACCGCAACAGAATGGTGTGGTCGAGCGAAAGAACAGGACGATGATGGAGATGATAAGGAGCATTCAAAAGCACATGAGAGTACCAAATTATCTTTGGAGGGAAGCAGTACGGCACACGACGTATCTGCTAAACAGGATTGCTACACGAGCTCTTAAAGACAAGACCCCATACGAAATTTTCAGAAAGCAGAAACCTCGTATTGATCATCTGAGAATCTTTGGTTGTATTAGCTATGCAAAAGTTGATCAACACCTTCTCAAGAAGTTGGACGATCGGTCTAGAATGCTAGTACACTTGGGGACAGAACCGGGGTATAAAGCTTATCGTTTGCTTGATCCGCAAACAAAGAAAGTCATTGTAAGCCGAGATGTAGTTTTCGACGAAACCAAAGGCTGGAACTGGAGAAGAAATCAGTCGGAACGAGACGGGGATGGAAGTTTCGACATAACTCTTGGGGAGTTTGGGAACCACAGCATCGTGACTGAGAATGAAAACGTTGTTGCAGAAAACAACAATCATGGTGACGAGGGTGATGGAGATAAAGAAGAGAACGAGATTACCTTACCTGAAACTGTAGAACCGGAAGCTGAAGAAGAAGAAGTGACAGAAGATAACTCGCAGGATCTAAGGAGAAGTCAGAGACAGAGTACTCTGCCAAAATACTTGAAAGATTATGTCTTACTAGCTGAGGAAGAAGGAGAGACACTTCTTTTGTGTCTTAACAATGAGCCTAGAAACTTCAATGAGGCTAAAAATCTAGTGAATGGCTCGATGCTTGCAAAGACGAGATCAAATCAATTGAAAAACTAAACATGTGGGACTTAGTTGATTTGCCTCTTGGAACAACGCCTATTGGACTCAAATGGGTCTTTAAGTTGAAGCGGAACTCTGACGGAAGCATTAACAAGTATAAAGCCCGACTCGTTGCTAAGGGGTATGTTCAGCAGTATGGAGTCGATTTTGAGGAAGTCTTTGCCCCTGTGGCACGAATCGAAACCATTAGACTTCTGATAAATATTGCAGCTTCAAACGGATGGGAGATTCATCACTTAGACGTCAAAACAGTGTTTATTCACGGAGAGCTCAAAGAGACTGTCTATGTTCTGCAACCTGAGGGCTTTGAGAAGGCAGGAAGTAAAGCAAAGGTCTATAAGCTGGATAAGGCCTTGTACGGACTGCGCCAAGCTCCTCGAGCTCGGAACAATAAGCTGAACCGGATTCTTGAGGAGCTGAAGTTTGAGAAATGCTCAAAGGAGCCAACGGTGTATCGAAAGATAGAGAAAGGACACACTCTTATGATTGCTGTTTATGTTGATGATTTGTTTGTCACCGGATCTGACAAGTCAATCATTTACAAATTTAAGGAGGAGATGGCGAGTAAATTTGAAATGAGTGACCTTGGGAAGCTAACTTATTATCTCGGGATAGAGGTAATTCAGTATGAAACTGGAATTGTGTTAAACCAACAGAGATATGCTCGGAAAATACTGGAGGAAACAGGAATGCTAGACTGTAATTCCGTGCATACACCAATGGAAGTGGGACTTCAATTGTCTAGAGCAGAGAATGAGAAGGAGATTGATGCTACAGATTTCAGGAAGAAAATAGGATGCTTTCCCTACTTGATTCACACCAGACCGGATCTGTCATATAGTGTAGGAATCTTGAGCAGGTATATGCACAGTCATAGAGAGTCGCATGTAGCTGCAATAAGACAATGCTTGAGATATTTAAAGGGAACGGTTTCGCTTGGTTTAATCTTTGAGAGGAGTCCGAAGATACCAAGACTAGTCGGATATAGTGATAGCAGTCTAAGCATCGATCCAGACGATGGCAGAAGCACGACAGGACATATTTTTTTACTTAGGAGACAATCCTATTTCTTGGTGTTCTCAGAAGCAAGATGTTGTGGCCATATCCTCGTGTGAAGCAGAGTTTATGGCCGGAACCGAGGCAACTAAACAAGCCATTTGGTTGCGGGACTTACTCAGTGAGATCACGGGAGCTGAAGCAAAGAAAGCTACTATCCGTATTGATAACAAATCCGCGATAGCACTTACTAAGAATCCTGTCTTCCATGGCCGGAGTAAACATATTCAGAGAAGGTTTCATTTCATCAGAGAGTGTGTCGAGAACAAATAGATTGAAGTCGAGCATGTTCCAGGAGTTGAGCAGAAGGCGGATATTCTCACCAAGCCGTTGGGGAAAATGAGATACAAGGAGATGAGGAAGCTCATGGGAGTTCAAGACTTAGAGAAGAAGGACTTCAAGCTTAAGGAGGAGAATGTTGAGATAAGCTTGAAGCACAAGCAAACCTGATTAGAATAAGGAAAATATCCTTTTAGAGAAAAAAGGAAAGTGTGTGAGAGATCTCTATATATTGAGTTGCCGAGATTGTGGCATCCTTAGAGAGAGAGTTTCGTGAGAGAGAACACGAGACATAGAGATCATTGTGTGAGAAAGAGAGCTTTAGGTTTTTGAGTTATTTTTCCTAGAGTATTTTTTTGGTTAATATCTTTTAAATTATCAAAACTATAATATATTTGTAGAAATTTTCTTTTATATAAAAAATTAAAACATAATATATAGTATTTCCTATTTTTGTTTATAAAATTATAAATCTTATTAAGTAAAATCATAGTAATGACACCTAACGAATTATCCAACTTCGATGTGCATATGTTTGATTTAAAAAATGATTTACTTACTAAATTTTTGGTGTCTTATTTTGTATCCTTAGGATTTCTATGGTTCTTTTATTTTAAAAGGTTTATATGTTTAAATATTTAGTTTCTTTACTAAATGTCTCACTAATGTTATGTACATAAATATATATAATATATGATATATATTGATTCAGA